AGCCCGTCCCAGTTTCTCTAATAGTTCATCTGTGCGTGGCATTGGATAGTTGTGTGGGCGAGTTACAGCATTTAGCTTACGGTAGTCCACGCAAAAACGTATCTCCCCATCTGGTTTGGGAATTAGAACCACTGGAGATGCCCATGCACTGCCAGAGGGGTGGATTACACCCATCTGAGGCATATCCTGGATCTCCTGTTCTATAGCTTGAGGAGACACCCAGTAAGGTTGGACTTTAATTGAGTGAGCATTACCTGTGTCAGTGGAGTGGTATGCCCGTTCAGTCAGTCCTGGGGTGGCTGAGAACGTCGGCGCATAGCTAGTGCACAGCTCCTTGATCTGCTGTCGCTGCATACGCCCAAGAGTCATGGAGAGGTTCACCTTGTCCACGCCACCAGCACTTTTCCCTTCGTAGTAGACACCTTCAGGCCACTCAGTGTCACCTCCTCCCTGGGCTGTAAACTGACAAACCTTTAATTCTCTGGAATAAAAGGGCTTTAGAGAATTAATATGGTATACCTTAGGCTTTCGGTTGGAGGTGGGGAATGCTATGAGATAATTAACAGCTCCCAGGCGCTCCTGGACCGTGAATGGCCTTTCCCACGACACTTCCATTTTATGGGCCTGGAGCACCTTTAAGACCATGACCTGGTCTCCTACTTTGAAGGAAAGCTCTCTGGCATGTTTATCATACCAGACTTTTTGCTCTTTTTGAGCATCCTGTAGGTTTTCTTTAGCAAGGGCTAAGGAGGTTTGGAGGGTGTTTTGTAGGTTGGTTACAAAGTCCGGAATGTTAGTTCCTGGAGAAGGTGTAAATCCCTCCCATTGCTGCTTCACCAACTGTAATGGCCCCTTAACCTCGCGGCCATATACAAGTTCAAATGGTGAAAACCCTAAACTGGGATGTGGTACAGCTCTGTAGACAAAGAGCAACTGCTGCAACACTAGGTCCCAGTCACTGGAGCACTCATTTACAAATTTATGTATCATGGCCCCCAAAGTCCTATTAAATTTCTCCACCATGCCATTTGTTTGATGATGGTAAGGGGTGGCAACCAAGTGATTTACCCCATGAGCTTCCCAAAGGCTTTCCATAGTTCCTGCCAGGAAATAAGTTCTTGCATCTGGGAGGATGTCAGAGGGCCTGGCACACACTTTTAGCCCTGGTGTTGCTTAGAGCTACTGCTTTCAGCCAACGGGTGGCAAAATCCATGAAAGTCAGTATGTACTGCTTTCCTCTGGGTGTCTTTTTCGAAAAGGAGCCAGAATATCCACAGGTACTCGCTGAAATGGAACGTCAGTGATGGGGAGTGGCTGGAGAGGGGCTTTGAGCTGGTCTTGGGGTTTTCCCACTCTTTGGCATACCTCACAAGACTGGACATAGGTAGAAACATCCTTGCCCATTCCCTCCCAGTGGAATGACCTCCTCAAATGGTCTTTGGTCCTGTTCACCCCAGCATGGCCACTAGGATGATCGTGGGCCAAGCTTTACCCAGTACTTAGTTGGAACTACCAACTGTCTCTGAGGATGCCAGTCTTCCTGGTGTCCACCAGAAAGAGTTTCCTTGTATAAAAGTCCTCTTTCTACAACAAACCTGGATCGATTAGAAGAGCTGAGAGGCGGTGGGTTGCTCCGTGCCGCCATCCAAGCTCTCTGGAGGCTTTCATCTGCTTCCTGTTCGGTCTGGAACTGTTCCCTTGATGTTGGAGAGAAATCAGTTCCTCATTGGATTGTGAACCTATGCTTGGTCCCTCTGGAAGCTAAGTAAGGGATGGGACTGTTTCCGTTGACTGTGAACCACTCTCTGCTGGTGCACTATGTTGGGGTTCAGGCTCTGGCTGAGCCTCTTGTGTAGGGTTATTGGCTGCTGCCGGTTCTGGTTCTGGGACTGGCTCTGTCTGGGTCTCTGGGACTGGATCCACCACTGCCATTGCAGATGTTGGCATGGGGTCTGGGTCCATCACCTCTGACCGGGTCCTGGTAGAAGTTTCCGGAATAGAGCTAGGCGGGACGGCTTGCCTATCCTTGCTGTGGATGACCATTCCCACCCTCTTGGCTAGCTTCACATGATTGGCCAAGTCTTCCCCCAAGAGCATGGGGATGGGATAATCATCATAGACTGCAAAAGTCCACGTTCCTGACCAGCCCTTGTACTGGACAGGCAACCTGGCTGTTGGCAAATTGAAAGAGTTGGACTTGAGGGGTTGAATTGTCACTTGGATCTCCGGGTCGATTAAATTGGGGTCCACTAAGGAAGCATGGATAGATGACACTTGTGCTCCGGTGTCCCTCCACGCGGTGACCTTCTTCCCGCCCACACTCACAGTTTCCCTCCGCTCTGAAGGTATCTGGGAGGTATCTGGGCCTGAGGACCTCTGGTGTGATTCCAGTGCAATGAACTGTAATCTGTTGGGGTTCTTGGGGCAGTTGGCCTTCACATGCCCTGGCTCATTCCATTTAAAACATCGTCCAGATGACGGGTCACTGGTGCGAGGTGGTTGCTGGAGAACAGTGTGGCAGGACGATAAGGTGTCTGGAGTATTCCTTGGTGTGTAGTTGGGGCCTTGGGCTGCCCCTTGTAGTAAGGTGTGGTCTGAGGGTGTTCCTTCTGGTATCCGCTCCAACTGTGACCTGGGTTGTTCCTCTCTCTCCACCCATTTTGTTCCGGCTTGCCCCACCTCTCTGGCAGTTTGGGACTGCTCGTATCGATGAGCATAAGAAGCAAGACTTTCTGCTGAGTCCATTTCCTTATCCCATAAACACTGTTTTATTTCCTCCTTGGACATATTCAGGAATTGCTCCTGAGCTATCAAATCACACATTCCATCAAAGCTAGTGACACCCCTTCCTTGGACCCATTTATCTAACAGATCCTTCATCTGGTTTAGATAAGCCACATTACTTAGTCCAAGCCCTATCTTAAGGGTTCGAAATTTTACTCTGTACATTTCAGATGTAATTTGAAATTGCTTTAAAACCAAATCCTTGAACTTATTATAGACAGAAGCCTCATCAATAAGCATCTTTTTGAATATGTCCAGAGCTCTTCCAGTTAATTTTGTGACCAATGTAGTCATCTTGTGAGCTTCAGAAATTTTATGGAGAGTGCACAGTCTTTCAAGGGTGAGAAAATATTCAGCAATATCACTGGATTCATCATACTGTGGACATAGTTGCTCCCATTTGTGGACTGTTAGGGAAGGATTGTTAGGGTTATCCAGTAGATTCCGCTCAGCCCTTACCTTCTCCAACTCCAGTTCAGGCTTCCTCTCTTTTTCCCTCTCCTCCATTTCTTTTTCCGTTGCCTCCAGTACTCTCCTGTGGGCAGCCTCTTTGGCTGTTTCTGCCTTGGACTCTGTCATGTTTGCCTCTCTGCTTTTAACTAACTTTACACCTGAGAGTTAGAAATAAAACAAACAAACAAAAAAAAACTTGGCTTGTTAAAAAACTATATATATATAGGTTGTGCTGTAACCGGATACCTATGTTCTCTGATAGTGACTGACAGCCTACAGAAAAATCCTTAAAAAAAAAAACCTAACACCTTTGTCTCCAGGCAAATAGACAGAAAACCCCTCTAGTTGCTCTTAGATAAAAAACAACTTCAGGTCTGTGAAGACTTGTGAATTTCCCTGCAGGAGGTTAACTAGCCTGCCTTTAGGTAGAGAAAACTCCAGCTCACAAAAGACAATTCCCTTTTGTCTCTGCTCTGGCCCCCAAGCAGAGACAAAAAAAACCTCTAACTGCCTTCAGCTTAAAACCTGCTTTCCAGTAGCCCAAAGGAAAAAAAGAATATTTCCTTTTAAAAAATCTGTGCTTCTGGTTCAAAAAATCTCAAATTGATCTCAAAAGGATTTCAAGTTAATCCCACTACTCTGCCACCATGTCAAGGTTCCTTCCCCATTCTGAACTCCAGGGTACAGATGTGGGGACCTGCATGAAATACCCCCTATGCTTATTTTTACCAGCTTAGGTTAAAACATCTCCAGGGTACAAACTATTTTACCTTTTGCCCTTGGACTTTATTGCTGCCACCACCAAGCGTCTAACAAATATATAACAGGGAAAGAGCCCGCTTGGAAACGTCTTTCCCCCCAAAATCCTCCCAAACCCTACACCCCCTTTCCTACGGAAAGCTTGATAAAAATCCTCACCAATTTGCACAGGTGAACACAGACCCAAACCCTTGGATCTTAAGAACAATGAAAAAGCAATCAGGTTCTTAAAAGAAGAATTTTAATTGAAGAAAAAGTAAGAGAATCACCTCTGTAAAATCAGGATGGTAAATACCTTACAGGGTAATCAGATTCAAAACATAGAGAATCCCTCGAGGCAAAACCTTAAGTTACAAAAAGACACAAAAACAGGAATATCCATTCCATTCAGCACCACTTATTTTATCAGCCATTTAAACAAAACAGAATCTAATGCATATCTAACTAGATTGCTTATTAGCCCTTTACAGGAGTTCTAACCTGCATTCCTGCTCTGGTATGGGCAAAAACAACACACAGACAGAGAGAGAGAACCCTTTGTTTTCCCCACCCCCCCTCCAGCTTTGAAAGTATCTTGTCTCCTCATTGGTCATTTTGGTCAGGTGCCAGCAAGGTTATCTTTAGCTTCTTAGCCTTTTACAGGTGAAAGGGTTTTTTCCTCTGGCCAGGAGGGATTTAAAAGTGGTTTGCCTTCCCTTTATATTTATGACACAGCCAAAAGACACTCCAGGACAAGGAGGCATTGCAAATAACAATAGCACCAGTATCCTCTGTTTCCCAGTGACCAGAGGCTTCCCCTCCTGCTCCCAACCAACCCTCACACCATGAATTTCGTCACTGATTTGGATGGGGCAGGGCCCCGAAGGTGGAGGGCTAACTCAGGTGGATCCTTTGATGTCTAGTCAGGGCTGAGCTCTGGCCGAAGCTTTTCCTGAAGTTGTGGCATGTGTAGGGTTTCTCTCCTGTATGGATTCTCTGGTGGGTGCTGAGGTTCGAGCTCTGACTGAAGATTTTTCCACACAGGGTATTTATAGGGAGTCTCTCCTGAGAGGGTTCTCTGGTGTCTGATGAGGTCTGAGCTCTGGCTGAAGCTTTTCCTGCAGTCAGGGCACTTGTATAGCTTTTCTCCAGAAACATGAGCTGCCTGGTGTCTAATGAGGTGCCTGTTGTCGTTGAAGCTTTTTTCACAGTCACGACACTTGTAGGGTTTCTCTTCTGTGTGGATCCTCTGGTGCTGAATGAGGTTTGAGCTCTGAGTGAAATTTTTCCCACAGTCAGGGCATATAAAAGGCTTTTCTCCAATGTGGATCCTCTGGTGCACACTAAGGGCTGAGCTCTCATTGAAGCTTTTCCCGCAATCACACTTGTAGGGTTTCTCCCCTGTGTGCAGTCACTGATGGGTGATCAGCCTGGATCTCCAAAGGAAGCTTTTCCTGCATTCACCACGTTTGATCTCTTTCCACTGAGGTGTCACGGCTGGTCAATTTCTTCAGGTGTCTTGGTTGTCCTGTGAGTGGATTTATTCCCTCTCTTCCTTAGAGGGTTTCCATTCTCCATGACTGGCTCACTCTGATGGTCACAGGCTTTTTCCTGCTCAGGACTCTTGGAAACACTCCCTTCAGATCTTCCAGATCCCCTCCCTTGTGGTGCCGCTTGCTCTGGACCTGCCTGCAGAGGAGTCTCTTCCCCGTTTTCCCTCACCATCCCGTAACCTGCAGGGATAGAGGATCTAGACAGGAGCCACTCCCTGTGCTGGTGGGCATGGGAACCTGAGAGAGGTGAATGGGGAAGGGTTTTTCACAAGGATAAAAACCAAACTAAAATCTCTGTTGGTAAAACTGAAAATCAGGAACTGAGTTCCACAGAAAAGAGGATATCGGGGAAAACCATGCTTCAACAGCCTGGAAGTTGAAGATAAACAAATTCAGGCTGGAAATAAGGCAGAATTTTTTTTAACAGTGAGAGTAATTAACCATTGGAACAATTTACCAAGGGTCATGGAGGATTCCCCATCCCTGACAACTTTTAAATCAGGATTGGATGTTTGTCTAAAAGATCTGCTCTCGGAATTAGATTGGGGAAGTTCTCTGGCCAGTATTATACAGGGGGTCAGACTAAATTATCACAGTGGTCCCTTCCAGCCTTAGAATCTATGAATCTCATGAGGAAGGGTTAGTGGCCAGATATCAGGTAGGATGGATGGGAAGCCACGAGTGACATCTGCCATGAGACTACAACATGTACTGGTAATAATTCTGAATGACCTGAGCTGAGGCAGAACTAAGAGCAAGGCCTGAAAGCCTTTTGAGTTGGTTTAAGCACTTCCTCACCTGTGCAGATGCCACTCAGGAGCTCCCTTTTCTTGGAGCCAGGGTGCTTCCCCTCTGTCCAGCTGGGATGTCAGATCAAGTCTGGGCATTGGAATCCTGATCAGGAGGGAGAGAACAGACCATATCAGGGTTTGTTACATATTGGCTGAGAACATGTCACAAAGACTGTTCCAGGATTTTAAACCCAGCTTCTTTGGCTTTGTCTAGAGTAGATGTTTTCTTCTGGAAATCTCCCACCAGTGTACCCACACAGGAGCAGCTCCACCATTAGTAGCCACAACTGGAGCACTAGGATGGACAGGAATCAGGCAACTAACTCTACCACCACCGTAACATCTAGTTGTGCTGTAAGCAGTCAGGTGACATGGCGATAAAAACACTGATGTCCCATTTGTGTGACTACTACAAAACAGCCGGGCCAAATTTTCTCTGAGGAATAGTAAATTCACAGAAAAATGCATTTTTCAGGCCACCAAAACTATCTGCTCAATCCAAGCAAATTCAATGAGTAGTTTTGCCCCCAAAATTCTTTTTCACATTTTTTAAATTAACCACTTTGGCATTTCATTTCAAAATGGCACTGGACATAAACAATGTTCTTTCAAGGAGAAAAACTGAGGGGCGTGGGAAATCAGTTTTTGTTCAAAACACCATTTTTTATTAATTATTATGATTATTATTATTTTGTTAGGCCACTGAACTGAAAACTCAGTTATTCTTTCATCATTTGGCTCTCCACTCCATCCCCTCCACCCCGCCTGGAGCTGAGCCAGCGTTACTGCAATGTAGGGGCAGAGAAGAGACAAAGCCTTTCTTCCGCAGGTCAGCACTTCAATCCAATGGACCCTCTTACACACACTGGGAGGGAGATGTGGTTTCTGCGGTAAATTCAAGGATACACACTCCGGTTACTTGATACATTCTGCAGAGCAGGGGTAATAAAGCATTTGCTGCAGTTTATGTTCCTCTATGTTTATGCAAATTATCTCATTAGGTAATGTGCATGCAATTTCACGTGGAGCAGCACACTCACCCTGTCTCCCTCCTCTCGGGCTGGGAGACTCGGTCCCTGGCCCGGCCCGGGGCGGTCGCTCTCCCGGGGCTGGCTCGGATCCGCAAGCGCTCAGGGGGGCAGAGCCAGGGGGGTCAGGGAGGACAGCAGCTCCAGGACTCGCAGACCCCCGCCCGCCCGGGAGCAGAGTTGGGGCGAGGAGGGGCCGTTAGTGAAAGGTAACTTTCCTGCCCGGCCCCAGCCCTTTCCCCCAGGTCTCTCACGTCTGCGGCTCCAAAGCTGGTGTCATCAGAGCCCGAGGCTGGTTCCAGGCCCCGGAGACAGTGTCCCCCTCCCCCCATCCTGGAGGTGGGGCAGTAGCTTTAGAGTCTGACCCTGAAGCTCCGCCTGAGATAACAGAGTAGCCTTCCCCACCCCCTACCCCCCCTTGTGTGGCCAAGGCCTGGGTAACTGACAGTTGCAGGGGTTTTTAGCAGCTGCGGGTTGTGGTATTTTGGGCTATTTGGCTGCCCTGCCGCTGGCTGGAGCTGCTGGGGACCAGGAGGCTCCTGATCTGCTGCGCAAAGCCGTGGGTGACTGATGTCGGGGTGTCCCCCCACGATAGGTGCTGGAACTAGGGGTGCACGGGTTCTGCTGCACCCTGACTTGAAGTGGTTTCCATCATAAACAGGGTTTACAATTTGGTTCAATGGCTCTGGGCAACCCCACTTATGCAAATTGTTCCAGCGCCCTGACCCCCACCCATTGTGTGCCCAGCGGGCAGAGTGCACCCCTCACCTTAGCCCTGAGTGTATGGGAGGCAGCTTGAGACAAGGCTTTGGGGCTTCCCAGGCTGGTGAGGGAGCTACTGCCCCCTGCACATTCAGGGGATAATTATCCCTGAGAGCCAGCCCAGCTTTGAGGGTTTCAGGCTGCTGCAGAAAGACGGTCTGTAACCTTTCCCTGCTGGGAAGAAACCAGCATGAGCTGCCACCATCACAAATATTGTTGAAATCACATTTTCCCAACTCTCTAATTGTGTAGTGAATGGCAGTACCCTACTGTGGCCATTCATTCTGCCATTTCGTCCCCCTTGTCTGTGGGAGTCTTTTCCTTTGCCTACTATGGGCTTTCGGTCAGGTCCATAGGCTGTGACCCAGAGTCACTGATTCCTCTGTGGATGACTGAATCTGCACTTTTCTAGGACCTTTTCCCAGAATACCTTCTGAGGAGCTGCCGGTCCTCCCAGAGCCCCCAGAAGTCACTGGGGGAGAGAAATGTTCACTTCCTGTCCTGACACAGGCCAGCTGGAAACAGGCTGATGGCTCCTGCTCCCCACCCAGACCAGGGTGCATGGGAACCCCACTGGGAGCAGCGGGATGGGTCCTTTCTCCTGACTGTGCTGGCATGAGCAAGGGTGGCCTGGGGACCAGTACCCAGGCAGAGCTGGACGGCCAACAGGGAGCTGGGTCATGCATGCTGCTGCACTAAGCCCCAGGGACAAGTGTCAGGAGTGTTCAGGGTTGGCACAGTGCTGGGCACACAAAGGGCTAGCCTGACATCACCCCCAGCCATGAGACCCAGCACAGCCTCTGCCTCCTCCTCAGATTCCACAGGAGACTGAGAGCCTGGCCCAGCTGCAGGGCTTAAAACAGACTGGAAAAGGGGGAGACCTCACCACACCAACCAGGAGGGGGCGCTGCTTCCTCCTGCTGCGGCATGTGGGGGAGCAACGTACCCAGCCCCAGGGGAGGAGCCAGAGCTCTCCGCCTGGGGGTGGATCTTACAGGAAAAGAAGAGATCTGGGATACGATAAAGGGGTCTGGGCTGATGGGCGCCTGGCCCCGGGGGCGGCCCCGAGCCCTGGCTGGCAGCAGGGGGCAGGTTTCTCTGGGGCTCTGTCTGGTTGGTTCGCGCTGGGGGTTTCTCTCTGCTCAGGCAGGAGAGGAGGGTTCCGGCCGGACCCCCCGTGCCGCGTTCTGCTCCCAGGCGCTCATTGGCTGCGGTCGCTTGAAGGCCCTGGCTGTTGCCGCGGGAGGGGGTGGGAGGCTGCACTTCCTGGGTCAGACACTGTTGCTCCATCCGGAGCAGCCGATCCTCCTGTCCCCGCCCCAGCGGGGTCTGTGTGGGGAGAGCCCTTTCCTACCGCCCTCTGTGTCCAGCCGGAGGGGGGGACCCAGCTCTGCTCCCGGGGGGCGGGGGTCTGCGAGTCCCAGCGCTGCTGCCCCCCTGACCCCCCGGCTCTGCCCCCCTGAGCGCCGGCAGGAGCCGAGCCAGCGCCGGGGGAGCGACCGGCCCGGGCCGGGCCAGGGACCGAGTCTCCCAGCCCGAGGGGTGGGGAGAGGGAGCAGGAGGGAGACAGGGGGAAGAGACTGGAAGGGGCAGCAGGAGCAATAAGGGGGTGTATGCAGATCTCTGGTCAGATCCTCTTCTCTCCCCCCTCCCCCCCTTATGCAGAGGGAGGAATTGAACCTGTTTGGCCCACATCCCAGCTGAGTGCTAACTTCTGGGCTCTGAGTTATACTGTCGGCACCTTCTCTGGGTTTGGGACGGGCCCTGGCTGCCAGGCATGCTCTGAGCACACCTGCCAGATCAGGCCTTGCAGGGAAGTTAGGCATTCACCTGCCTGGCTTAGCCTGGTTCAGGGATCGTGCTAGGGCTCAGACGGGAGATAGTGTCCGGATGCCTAGAGGGAGGCAGCAGTGTGCTTGACCAGAACAGGAACTTAGGCAGCTAGGGAACTTTTACAGCAGTAATTTAGATGTGCAGTGAGAGCAAGGTTGTATAAAAGTGGCACCTGTAACTGGAACGTAGGCACCTAAATCTGGGCCAGTTAGCTTACCTGAATGATTACACAGGCCCAGGAGGAGGCTGTGAACTTGTGAATTTAGGAGAGGATGCCTGGCTGAATTAGCATCCGGGCTCACAGAAGATGGATGGATTGGAAGGGTTAAAGGTGTGTACTTTTGAGTTAGTGAAATAAGCCCCACAAAGGAGGAATGTTGGTCTGGGAGTAATCATTGCAAGACGGCAAGAGAGCGAGAGAGAGCTGCAGGACTGAGCGTGCCACCAGCTCCTAGGTGGCACCCCATCACTCCAGGCAAGCATGAGAAAGCCAGGAAAGGCCACAGGTAAGGGACCCCTTGTGCATCTTTAATTGCCCCCTTTTGCTTAAGCATTAGGACACTGTTTTATTACATGGTCACATATTATTTCTCAGAACTCATTGTCTCAGGAAGTTGTTGAGGCCAAGAATTTAATAAGATTCAAAAAAGGATTGGACATTTACATGGACATCACACTTCAGGTCTGAAGCCAATTTCTGGCTAGTAGAGACCAGGAGAAGACCTAATATGGGGGCATATTTTCCCACATCTGCTACACCATCCTCTGAAGCAGCTGGTGCTGGCCATTGTGAGAGACAGAATATTGGGCTAGGTCCATACCTGGGTCTGATCCCGTCTGGAAATTCCTATGTTTGTATTATACGCTGCAGGGTTTTTTCCTACAATCTTAAGTGCACATGTTTGACAGCCTGTAATATAACTGTGTCATCTGGCATGCTGACAACAACTTCCCCGTGGCCAAAATCCTATGGTAAATCTTTAGTGAAGCAGATTTGTCATATCGTCACTTCTGTCTTTTATAATTGTGCAGGCAGTGATTAATTTGTGCCGGGGCTGAGCCCTGGCACCTTGAGGCTTGGCAGTTCATAGCCCTGACACCTCTGGGCTCCTGGCCAGCAGCTGCAGCTCTCCAGTTGCCCAACTTGGAAGGCAGTGCCACCGCCACCAGCAGCACAGAAGGAAGAGTGGCAATACTGTCCCATGCCACTCTTACTTCTGTGCTGCTTCTGGCAACAGTGCTGCTTTCAGAGCTGGGCGCCCAGCCAGCAGCCGCCACTCTCCAGCTGCTCAGCTTGAGCCCCGGCACCTCTTTCATTACAGATTAAGCACTGGGTGTATATTGTTAATTATTATGCTGCTACATGTACAAGCCGGATTTCTATCCCTCTGGACTCAGATACACTTCTGATGGGTGGTTTTGTTATCACAGCAGAACAGAGAGTTGCACTAACAGCCTGGATGCCTATTCTGGATGCCACCTTTTCTGACACCAGTATCCCCTTCTGACACCAGCCTGACCCCTCTGTCAAGCAGTAGCAGTTGTCTGAAGTCTTGCAGGTTGGCTTCACAGTTGGGGAGAAATCAGTGATTATCCATGAGGGTTTCCAGCCAGCTGGTTTTCATCACACATGGGTGACTCAAGGTAACGTGCTGTGGCCACTGAACTTGAGCTATACCAACATACTCTTAAGTTTGAAATCAGTCTGTATACACTGTAAGAGTAAATTGCAGTACATCAATTCTGACACGAGAAGGACAAACTGCATGCAGGGCAATCCCTTCTCCTAGGAATCTCAACCCCACACTAGTTCCCAGACAGCAGCTCTGTCTCGAGCAGACTGTATTTAGAGACAAGTTTCATAGGGGTAGCCGTGTTAGTCTGTATCAGCAAAAACAACTAAATTTGTTAGTTTCTAAGGTGCCACAAGTACTCCTCATTGTTTTTTAATTTAGAGGGCAATCTCTCCTGCTTCTCGCGCAGCTTCTCCTGTCCCGAAGCTGCCTCTACTCCAAACCTGGCATAATCCAAAACTAACAAAGCACAATATATCATCCCAAGAATCAAAACTTGCTCACATGCCTAGGAAAAGGGTTTGGAGACTATGTGTAACAGTGCCACTTTGTGATACCTGACAGGTTTTGTTATGCACTTTATTTGCCTCTTTCTTGGGAACTGCCCTGAAATGACCCTCATAGAGTTAACAGTAACTTTTTCCCAAAGCAGTGAAAGGAATTGCTTTAAAGTGTTTATGCTTCTAGCTTCCAAATTTAAGCTAAGGTCCTTCTAGGAGCTGACAAATGCATATGAATGTCTTCCTAGCTGCTAACTGTGCACCAGAATAGAATACCCTGTAATAATTGGTCACGCTTGTGTTCATGTTTCCTAGCTGACCATTTAATGGCACACATTTTTAAAAAGTGGCTTCATTGATAGCATCCGTTTTTTAGGAACCCAGCTTGACACTTCAGGTAGGCGCAATTTCCATTGGCTCTAGCACCTCTTAAGATCCATAACCGTTTCACTGTGGGCACTTGACATGTGAGGTACTCAAAATCAGTGTCCCTGAAAGTGCAGCAGCCTCTGGGGCTGAGCAGAGCAGCCGGGGTTGCTGAAGGTGACGTGCTATGGCCAGTGAACCTGTGTATTGTGAGTTTGAGCCCAGCCCTTGATGACTTTCAGAGAATGCGTCTTGTGTACATTGCTTTCACCTGTCTAGGAACAAATACCATGGGCTGTACTTTCAGGGAAGGGGACTCTTCTTTAAACCATGATTTGAGGACTTCAATAGCTCAGACATAGGTGAGAGGTTTATTTCAGGAATGGGTGGGTGAGATTCGGTGGCCTGCATTGTGGAGGAGGTCAGACTAGATGATCATAATGGTCCCTTCTGACCTTTAATATCTATGAATCATGGGAAGCAGTGATTCTGAAAGGCACATGGTGGATAATCAGCTGAACATGAGTTCCAAGCCCAGATCCACAAGATAAGTAGGCACCTAAATCTCAGTTATAGGCTCCACAAAAACCCTGCTCTGTTCCTGCAGGCACCTAAACTCATTCAACCCCTGTTTTCAGGGTAAAAGTTCCCTCCACACCTCAGCTTCTGCCTCTGGCAATGCACACAGCTGCCTGGACACCTATCTCCCCACTAAATCCCAGAGCGAACCACAAACCAGGGGATGATACATGTTTGCTTGCCTGTGGCACCTGATCCAGTAGGTATGCCCCTGAGAACCAGTAGGCATTGGAGCCAGGGGACTGCACCCGGAGGCTCATTCCTGGGTGCCCTAACCACCAGGCTACAGATTCTCTGGCACCGTGACTCTCATTATTTGATCCACAGTGGAATGGCTTCAGCAGGAGAGATTGTGGAAGGCCCCTGTTAGACTATCCGGTAGCCCAGTGGTTGGAGCACTCACCTTGTTCAAAGCCTTTCTCCCCTTTGAGAGAAGGGGGACTTGAACCTGGGTCTCCCAAATCTCCACTTAGAGCTCTAACCACATGTCTAACCTAAAAGTTATAGGGCAAGCCCTGCCTCCACAGTCTGCTCCTCTGGCTATTTTATGCAGAGTGGGGCAGGCACCTCTCTCCTTCTCACAAGAAACAACTTAGGGGGCCTGAGCCACCTGACTCCATGAGACAGGTTCCAAGCTGGGAATTGCAAGCCAAGCTAAAAGCCTCCCTGCAGCCTGCATTGCAGGGGCCTATCTGCATTGGAGGGGCAGGACTTCAAACGCACCCCTCTTGTTGGCATCTGATACTGGCCAGTTTAGATGTCTCCCTGCCTAATGTGCTGGCTTTTGTGGATCCCATTCTAAGGCGCCTGTTTCTCCCCGTTCATTGTACTGGGAGCAGCTGCACCTAACTCAGGTTTTGTGAATACCAGTACTGTTCCAGTGACTTCTTAGGTGCCTAAGAATCCAATTGCAGATCTGGGCCCAACTGTGACAATGTAGCCAAACAAGCTAATGTAATCCTTGGATGTATAAACAGGAATAGTGCATCAGAGTAGAGAGGTTGTTTTACCTCTCTATTTGGCACTGGTGCGACCACTGCTGGAATTCTGTGCCCAGTTCTGGTGTCTACAATTCTAGAAGGATTTTGAGAAATTGGAAAGGGTTCAGAGGAGAACCCTAAGAATGATTAAAGGATTGGAAAACCTGCCTTACAGTGAGAGCTCCAAAAGCTCAATCGATTTAGCTTAGCAAAGAGAAGGTGAAGGGATGACTTGATCACTGTCTATAAGTATCTTCATGGGGAAAAAAAATCTTTTATAAGTTAAGGGCTCTTCAATTTAGCAGACAAAGGTCTAACATGATCCAGTGCCTGGAATTTGAAGCTAGACAAATTCAGCCTGCAAATAAGGTGCAAGTTTGTAACAGTGAGGGGAATTAACCATTGGAACAACTTACTCAGGGTCGTGGTGGATTCTCCATCACTGACTACTTTTAAAT